TTACCACTCATCTACCTAATTATAGATGATAAGGTTATAATTGCATTGTGGGATTCTGGATCCTCCATCTCGTACATCAGAAAATCAACGCTGAATTTCTTAGGAAAGAATGTGATTCAGAAAGACCAAACGGCAGCTAAAACAGCCAACGGATCAACTTTTAAGTTCTTAGGAAAAACAGAACTAACCGTTAGTATAGCCGATATGGATATAGATCACACCTTCTTGATATCAGAAGACGAACATTGCCCCGCACCAGCACTCCTAGGATTAGATTTCATGGAAACATTAGATCTGTTAAATATACCTGCCACTCTGAGACCTGCTCAAAACATTTTGAGGATAGGAACAAGAGCAATTCCATTGCTAACAGCAACTCAGGCCAAAGTTCAGCACAAGAAGCAAACGATCAACGTAGTGAACACCAGAAAAAGAACCATCCACCCGCAAGAATCAACAATGCTAGAACTGACTACAGAGAAAGAAATGAGCACAGAAGAATATGCGCTACTCGCACCAACCGATAACAATTTTCTGTGCTTTGAAACAGCATTCAGAAGAAGTCCAAGAGTGGGAGTGTATTTCGTCAATAATACGGATCAACCACTCACCATTGAAAAAGGAGAAACCATAGGAAAGGCAGCGGTGGTCACAATCCCTGGCCTAAGAACAGAAGGTTTCGGAGAAAGCAATTTTCATATACCTCCAGAAGCAGACTGGGAAGATAAACTCCCAGTATTCCCAAAGGAATTCCGAGATGGATTTCAATGGCAAAACAATGAATTATCCAATAAACAGCAATTCCAATTATATAACATCATATCAGAAAATAAAGAAGCTTTCCTGAACGAAGATAGGAACATTGGATGTTTTAAAGGTCCTATAGTCCACAGCATACCACTTCGGACGGACATGGATCTTCCAAAACCTAGAATAACTAGAATTCCATATGCTAAACGAGACGAAGTTGAAAGACAAGTAAAGGAAATGCTAGAGCAAGGAATTGTGGAGAAATCTGAATCATTGTGCAACAGCCCAGTCGTACTAGTAAAGAAGAAAGACGACACCTACAGATTTGTCACTGACTTCAGAGCCCTCAACAACGTAACGAGGAAGCAAACGTATATCATCCCAACTATAGCCGATATAGTGGATATGGCAGCAGGTGCCAGATATTTTTCAACTCTGGACCTGGTTTCCGGATTTTTCCAAATCGAATTGAGAAAAGAAGATAGGCCTCTAACAGCATTCACGACACCAAGTGGTTCGTATCAATACAGAAGAATGCCGATGGGTTTGTGCGGAGCACCCCACACTTTTCAAAACGCTGTAAGATATTTGCAATCATTATGTAAATGTAAACTGTTCGTTTACCTAGATGATCTATTGATCATATCTGAGACAGCCGAGCAACATCTGAAAGATATTGACGAAGTCACAAAGAAGATAGCAGAAGTAGGAATGAAAATCAAATTGAAGAAATGCTCATTTGCTCAGAAAGAAGTCAAATTCTTAGGATTGATCGTAGGGAGAGAAGGGACTAAGCCTGATCCAGAAAAAGTAACAGCCATCAAGCAGTATCCTGCACCTCAAACTGTTACGGCCGTGAGAGCATTCCTAGGTATGGTAGGATTTTTCCGAAAATTCATCAAAGATTTCGCACGAATAGCCTCACCTCTACATGATTTGACGAAAGATGGAAATCCATTCAAATGGGAAGAAAAAGAAACGAAAGCATTTGAAGAACTTAAAACCGCACTTTGTTCCGCCCCAATACTGAAGCCACCAAGGAGCGATAGAATATTTGTCATTGAATCGGATGGCAGTAATATTGCAATTGGAGCAGTATTACTACAACCAGAAGACCCAAAAGAACCAATGAAGAATCTTAAGCCTATTGCTTATGCCTCACGCAAACTCGTGAAAGCAGAACGCAACTACGCGCCAATCGAAATTGAAGCGCTAGGTCTGGTGTTTGCGTTAAATCAGTTCAGAACATATGTTCTTGGAACACACGCAATTTGTGTCACAGACCACAGACCTTTAACTTCCCTGATGACTAGAAGAGATCTGTTAGGAAGACTAGCAAAATTTCAACTAGTAATACAGGAGTATGATATCGAAATAAGATACAGGGAAGGAGCCCTTAATAAAGTATGTGACGCTTTATCACGCTACATCGATAATGAAGCAAACGACCCAAAACCAGAGAAACCAAAGGCAAAAAGATACGAAAAAGTAAACATCATCACAAGTGAAGATATTAAGGAAATACAAGAAAAAACCCCATGGATAAGAAAAACCATGGCAGAGATGGAATATAGATACAGCAAGAATAAGCCTACGAAGGAAAAAGAAAGATTCTGCATCATAGACAACATCCTTTACACAAAACCCTCAATTAAACGTCCCCACCCAGCAGTTGTCCTGCCTAGAGAC